CCTCTCCACCAAGACACCTTGAGTTTCTTAGATGATAGTGGTAGTGCTCCAATGAACCAGCACTTATCAGCCTCTGCTATTGTCTCATTTGATGTTGTCCCATTGGTCAAAGCAAATTACATGGACAAGTCTAGCATCAATATTGGAGGGGACTAATAAGGGCCTATGAGACTTGGGATTCACTAAACACAATCTGCCTACTACAGATGCTGTGAACAGATATTTATCCATATCTCCATTTTTCAGATGGGAAAGCAAGCTAAGTAGCTTACTTGGGATCTCACTTGTGTCCAGCAAGACAGAGAGGTAGAGCTTAGTTCTCACATTCTCTCCTCTCTCTGGTCTTGAAATTCATATTGTATCCACTATGGTGCCTCTGGCACCCTGCCTTGGCTCTGACTTCTTTTTCAGAGTCCATTGACAAATGATCGTGTTTGATATAATAACAAGTCACCTCTCTCAAGTCTGATTCTTGTCTCTTTTATATTTGTCCTCACTTGTCCTCCAACACCATACACATTCAAAAGGAGTGTTAACAGATTTCACTCGTGTTCTTCTGTTTGCACATATGAGGTCCAACATGGTACTCCTCACTCTCACTCCCTCCGTTTAAAGGGTCTGGAGGTGACTGGAGTCCATCACAGTTATAGAAATGGCCCTTCATGTCTTGTACCACCTAATCGATATGGTGAGGCCATACACATTTGTAGTACAAATTGTTGTCTTTTGAGTCACCCTTTTAGCATTCAAGTACAAAAAGAAAATCACCAAGCAGGCAGAAAATGTTCTATATTCTTGAATGCATCCATCTTCCTTTCTAGTTTCCGGCGAGGAATTACTTCTTTCTCTGTACTCAGGAGAGTGATGGGAGCGGCGGAAGTCAAGAGCTCACCCCACCAGTGCCACGAGAAATCTTGTAGCATCTGATAGACTGAGACAGATTGCCTCTTGCTTGGTGAGGGCCGCATTGCTGACAGGTCCAGCCTGAAGGCCCCAAGCACCATTTCAATGTTGTTATTGGCAACATGATTGAGAGGGAAGTCAGGCGGTCTGTCAGCTTGGCCTTCATAGAACTATTAGAGGGAAACAAGAGATAAAATGTTTTTTGTTTCAACAAGGTTGCATTTCTATTGTACATGTTTGACTCCAAAACATACCATAAAAAATGACTTCTTAGGTATCCCACCTTAGTGGACACTTAAAAATTATTAGGAGAGGGGCAAGTAAAGAACTGAGTGTTGATCTTTACTGAATACAGTGATGACCTTGTTTCTGAGATTGCTATTTGTGTTAGGCAGAATGATACCTCTGCTCCCCCAAAGATGCCTGTGCCCTAATCCTTGGAGCCTATGAGCAGGTTATATAATGCAGCAAAGAGAAATTCAGGTTGCAAATGAATTTAAGGTTGTTAATCAGCTGATTTGAAAATAGGGCGATGAGCCTGAATTATCCGGCTACCTTGGGTAATCATAGGGTCTTTAAAGACAGAGTGACTAAGTCATAAGCTAAGGAACATGTGGGACCTGTAGCAGCTGGAAAACTCAGGAAAAGGATTTGCCTCTAGAGTATTCACAAGGGATGTGGCCTGGTTGGCACCTTGATCTCAGCAGATCCCAGCATTTTGTACTGCTGACTTCTATCAGTATAAGATAATCAATTTGTTTCATTTTAAACCATTATGTTTGTGGTAATTTGCTACAGCAGGAATAGGAAACAAGAGCAACTTTGCATTAGATCCTTGACTAAGAAGCAGTGTTTTCAATGCCTTCATTAAGTTTATGGAAGACTCTAGAATACATAATAATAGCAGAATATACAATTCCTGGATATGAAGATACTCCATTCCTTATATTTCATAGAAAAATATAAGACAGCCATTTTTTTCCATTTACCCTTATACACAAAGACTTATATAGTTGGTAAGGCTGAATAACTTATTGAACCTGCTCATTTTATGCACTCGTTAATTTGCTCAAGGTTTTATAGGCTACATTCATCTTTGGTTAGTCATTTTGATCCCATGGAGTGTTAATTGGGTTCACTCATGCGTTTGTGGTCAGTGGCAATATTGGTGGGTGTTAGCTGATCTTGCATGACAGCATTCACAGGTCCAGCAGTTTCAGTAAGGTTTCAGCTGGGGCTCTGTGGTTTCTATCAACATGTCCTTTCTGCTGGTGTAGCTAGTATGGGCTTCCTCACTGCAAGAGGCAGCTCAGGAAAGCAGAATGTAAAGGTCTCTAGATTCAGTCTCAGCATGGAAATTGCATGACATCATTACATTGCTTCTTATTGGTCAAGGTAAGTCACAAGGGAAATACTGACTTAATAAAGAGCAGAGAAACAGGTTCCTTGATGGAAGCAATAACAATCCCACATTCAGAGATGGGAGAATCTGTAGCTAAGTTTTTCCAAGCTCTGTGCCAGTGTTTAGGCTCTCTTTCTTGGGTTAGATGGTCTGACACTGATAAACATTCTGCCTTCTGTTCCTGCCTCTTCTATGAGATGAGTTCACCAGAGCAATCTCTGCCTTGGAGGGGAGTTATGGGAAGTTGTCAAACTGCTGTGACCATGAAAGAGAGATTAAGAGTAATTTAGAGGAAAAGGAGTAGAAAACTCACTCAGGTTACAGGGTTGATTCCCATTCTCCAGTTCTCACAAACCAGCAGGAGAGTTATATGAGGACCTTTGTCTGATTCCATTGCACATTTCTCAATTGTTTCAGAAAGTGGAGGGAGGGAGGAAAGGCATGATTAATGAATACCCCCAAGAACTTATCGATAACTACTTGAAGGGAATAGAGAAATAATCAATGACAAGGTGGGAGAAGTTTAAGAGGAACAAATCCAGGCCTTGTTCTAAAAGTGAAGGTACAAATTTTAGGATTATAAATGAGGACCTTGGATGCACAATGGCCATGGCTCTCACTATCCTTGTGAGCTAACTATAAAATGTCCAGCAATTAGGTTGTTTAAAAAATGCTGACAGTATCCTGGAAAGCATTTGCTGCTTTTGCACTTACATTCTGTTTGTGCCATTTTCACAAGACCATAGGTATGTTGATAGTTCTCCTGAGACAGCAGTCGGATATAAAAATGAACTGGAATATAAGCATCCAAACTGATTACAGGACAAAAAAATGATGAAAATTATCTGTGGATGAATGAGATATTTTCAGTTAGCACTTAATCCAGAAATCATTTTCTTTGCACAAAGGACAGGAAAATCAGAAATTATACGGAAGCTCTTATTTTGCAGCAGTAGGAGTATAGAGAATGCACTGGTGTGTGGCCACAGGCAGCTTTGAGGTCAGAACAGACAGAATACACTACAGTGGAACGAGCACAGGCTTTGGTTAAACATAAGCCGGAGATTTTGATTCTTGGATTCGCAAATTTGCACTTTGAAACTTTGGGAATATTCGTTTGTCTTTCTCTTCCTCCATCTCTTTTGTAAAGTGGATCTTATAATACTTGTTTCATGACTGTTGTAAGAATGAATGGCAAATATTTCTTGCGTCAGTACTGACTCCTGTTCTTGGCACTTTGTCGGTGAACAATGAGCATATGGAAAATGAAGTTGCAGAATTGGCAATAGGAATTGATACTCAATCCTTGCATGAGTCTGTGTAGTAGCTAACAAGTACAGAAATGGATAGGATGATAGAGATGTGGTTGGAGAAAGCTGTGTGTTTCAAGAGATGGGTTTTTAGCACTGAATAATAAGAGATAGTATTAAAACTAATATATCACTTTCAGATAATTCTTAAAGAAGTAACAGGTCAAATCTGAAAATTCATGGCTTAGAGACAGGGCTAAAGCATGAAAAGCTATTGTAGAATAAAATGATCACAGATTAAGTTGAACTAAACTATACACGAGCAGAGAGCTGAGATGGCCTCACACCAGCCTCAGGTCTCTCTGGGTTTCAGCAGAGAATGAAGATCTAGAAAATTCACAGGGGCCAACTATAGAGTTGGTGAACATAACTGAGAATGAAGAAAGGAGAAACCTGTCAGCAGGGTCTCCATGAGACAAAAGATAGGGACAGACCATAGCAGAGGCTGCAAGCTATCTGCCTTGCACTTTGTATGATGACTATATGGAAACCAGACTTGTAGAGTTGGCAAGGGGAAATGTGATTCAATCCTAGAACAGGAATAGCTAGGATGATAGAGATGTGGTTATCATCTTAGAGATGTCCAAGTATAGGCTGATTTTCATCCTTGTATTCATTGCAGAGCTACAATTTGAGTTCCCATTGGCTACATTCCCATCTTTCTTCTCAATGACTTGGCAAGGCTTGCTTCTCTTTTGAAAACATCAGGTTCTGGAATGCTTTAGGGTGTTTTGATTTATGCCTAGGTGTCCCTCTAATTCCTAGAGCCTTATGCAGTCATAAGCAGGAGCTTTGGAAGGTGGCTGGATTGTAGGGACATTTCCACTGACTACAGTTAAGGTCAGAAGAGACAGGTCACTGAGGGTGGGACTGAGAAGGTGGCGTTTCCCTTCCCTTCTCCTCATTTGACTCTCTTTGATTCCTAGATGCCGTGTCTCCCTAACGTGCCACTTTTGCCTAGTGCTAGCCTACTAACCAAGGACTGAAACTTCTAAAACATAAGCCAAAACTGACCTCTCCACCTTTTAAGTTGTGGGGTATTATGTCATAGCATCTAGAAAGTAACTAAGACATAGGGTAACAGGTAAGAAAATGAACAAAAACAGAATAAGGGCACACAGCTCAGCTGATACACCACAAGCGGGAAAAGCCATTGCCCCATTTATCTCTTTTACCTATAAACTAGGACCCTTGATGCCACACCTGTCTTCTTTCTGCAATCTGCGCTAGTGTTAGGAGAGAAGGATTCATGCCAGTTTTCTAAAAATCAATCTTCATACTTTTGGCTGCCTTGTTAGCACAGTGAGGGCTCCCTAGGAACAGTGAGCTACTTGTTGAAATAACTGATGTCCTTAGGATTATTCTGACTTTCTCTTTCCCAACAGGATGGGGAAGAACATGATTCCTTTGAAGGCACTGAAGCAAGAAAGGCTTCACCTTTGTGATCTCTGTCCTGGCTACAGATGGACCAAACTTTATACACTTCAGCTCAGGTACGCGTAACTAGGAAGGAATTTCCTTTAATTTAATAACTGATTTCTTTTTTTGCTCTGCTATAAGCTGGTATAAGAGAAAGAGGAAAAACATAAACAAAACAGATGTCAGTGAAAGACAATTCAATCTCTCACAGTTCAGAATAGTCCCCTGTAAGGAAATATGGTGAAGTTGTTTCCTAGCAGGTTGATTTTTCTCTTTTCAAGAAATTATTCTCTACTTTTCCCCAAAATGGCATCTTCAGCGAAGTATTGGGGAATCTTCAACATCCTCGAGAGAGAAAGGAAAAGCCCCTTGTCTCTATAGAGTCTTGGGACTCAGCTTCTGGTTTCTTAGCTTTTGTTGCATCAGGGAAAAGTCTGGGGTACCTGGAAAGTATTCTTTCAGCCGATAGAGTGTTAATTCAGCCCACTTGAGATTTTGATAATAATGTTGATTCTTTGAGATTTGGCCATATGCTTCAACATTTCCTTAGACCAGATCTTGTGGCTTCTGGTATGGCCTTTCCCCACTTTGTACCTCAGGGAGCCCCCACAGGCAAGTTTCTCATTGTGTAATTCTCAGCTGTCTTCACCAACCCTGGAACTGGCCTCTGGGAAGTTTCTAGACCTTCTTTCTTTGCTGAAATCCAGAGAGATTTGGGGTGGGCTGGTGTGGGGCCATCTGAGGTCCTGTGTAGAGCACACCTTTTGCGTGTGCTGCCCGATGGTACTCACATGGTACACAGGGCATCTCCTGGAAAAGCAGATCCCCCCCCCCCAGGCATGTGGCTTTCTAAGGCTATACCAGCCATGGCCAATTTAGAGTTCATCATGTCTTAGTGCATGCTCATATCTAGCCCATCCTGCCGGGCATGGTGGCACAAGCCTGGAATCCCAGCACTTGGGAGGCTAAGGCAAGAGGATCATTCTGAGTTCGAGACCAGCCTGAGCCACAAAATGAGCTCAAGACCATCCTGAACTGCATAGTGAGACCCTGTCTCACAAAACAAAACAAAACAAAACAAAACCATCTAGCCCATCCTAGAGGTTTTGATCTGGGTGGGGGGGTCGGGACCCCGTGTCTCACTTGCTCATCCTCTCTTATCTCTCTTCCAGCTTCTCCCTTCTCCAGAAGCACTCTCTAGTCTCCCCCTTGTATCTGATATGAACTGTCCCCATACCTTCCTCATTCCCTACCTTTTGGTCCCTTTTCTAGGTCTGAAATGACATAAAACTTGTAGAGAAGGGAAAAAACTTTCTAATAAGGGAAAAAACACAGGAAATAGGGCACAGCTATATGTTCCAAGACTTGATCAAAGCCAACACAACAGGTGACAACTCACCTTTTGTTGAGATGTTATGATATCTTTTGTGGATTCTGAAACAAGAGTGATGTTGAGAGTCTTCTATAACCTGGAGAAAGGCTCAGGAAATGACTCATCCAATTAATTACAGCACTAACTAGTTGAATTGGATCCAGCCTTTATTCTGTTTTGACACACTACCTCATTATTACCAGGTAGTATCAAAGCAGAAACATCAAAAATAAACACAAGACAGGCATAGTAACAACAATGATAACAGAGGCCTCCTGTTATGGATAAGGAGAGATGTATTTTATCAAGATTCTCTACTTGGTTTGTTTCAGAGAAGCAGAACCAGTGTGTGTGTGTGTGTGTGTGTGTGTGTGTGTGTGTGTGCGCAAGCGCATGTGTAATATGTTTAAGTTATATATAGATCCCTATCTGTCTTTCTATCGATATTTATTTCTTTTATTTGTAATGTTTTGCTTTAAAGAGAATAAAACAAATCAAAACAGAACAAAGTAGATCAGAACAAAATAATGCAAGCAACACAGGATTTCAAAACAAGACAATAGGAAATTGACAGTGGCTACCATAATACTTCTTGTTTTCTTTGAAATAGTTGTCCGTAGGGGATGGGGATTTAGCTGAGCGGCATAAGCGCCTGCCTTGCAAGCAGGCAGTCGTGAGTTTGATCCCCAGTACCGATAAAAAGGAAAAAGGCCAAAAAAAAAAAAAAAAAAAAAAAAAAAGAAATAGTTGTCCGTATCTTCAGATACAATGAATTAAAACAAGACAAAATAGTATAAAACCTGTCAAAACAAAAGAATGAAATCATTCAAAACCAGACAATAGAAAATCAAAAGTGGCTACCGTAATGTTTCTTATTCTCTTCAACATAGCTGTCCATACCTTCACGTTGATATTTATTTCAAAGAATTTGTTCACTCCAGTCTTGGCAAATCCAAAATCTGATGGGGAAGACTGGACAGCTAGAGACTCAGAGAAGAAGTGTAGTTCAAGTTCAAAGGCATTCCGGTGACAGACTTCTTTTCTTTCTGGGGAGAGGAGGTCAGTCCTCATTCTGTTAAGGCCTTCACTGGAGGAGGTCCTCCCACGTTATGGAGGGCAATATGCTTTACCCAAAACCTATCACATCCAAAAACAACAAAAACAAAAACAAAAAACCTACCTTCACAGAAATACCTAACATAATGCACCATATATGTGATCACTATCGCCCAGACAAAGAGACATACAAAGTATGCTGTTACAGGGGATTTATGAGGTTTCATTGTGAGCCGGGAGGATATTGTCAAAAAGGATCCACTACCTCAACTCAGCAAATGAAGTTTCCAAAGAGGTCAAGATTACATCCAAGCTTGGGCTTTGCATCATCAATTTGTCCTCTGAAAATTCATTAAGAAAGGAGGGAAACAGGTAAATGATGGTAAAGAGAGCAGGCAGCACTGCCTCCCACCTGCTATGATCAGTCATGTTTATCGGTAGCAAAACCCAATTCAATATGGAGGCAACTTAAGTGCATCTTCCCAAATGATGAAAGCCCAATCTGGAGAAGCTACACACTATATGATTCCAGCTGTATGACATACTGGAAAACGCAAAATAGTAAAAAGATCAGTAGTTGCCACAGGTTAGCAGAGAGGGAAGGTTGAATAGGCAGAGCACAGAGGATTCTGAGGATGGTGAAAATGCTCACTGTGATACTGTGATAGTGGATACACATCATTACACACTTGTCCAAACCCACAGAAAGTATGATTCCATGAGTGTGAATCCTAGACTCTGGTCTCTGGGTGATAACGAGGAGTCTATGTTGCTGTATCCATTGTAGCAACTGTATCACTCTGGAGGAAGATGCTGATAATGGGGCAGCCTTTACATGCGTAGGGCCAGGGAATATGCCTTCCTTTCAGTGTTGCTGTGATCCTAAAACTGCTCTAAAAAAAATAAACTCCTAATAGAGAAACAAGCAAAGGAGTAGATACTCACTGTGACTGAAGCGGGGATTTACTGGACAGGAGTTTCATTTGGAAGCCATAACAGAAACGGAATGGAGCCTGGAAAAGGACAGGACACAGGCTACACTCACCAGGGGTCTTTGTGTCTGATCTCATGAGCTCTACTCTTTCTAGTTCCTTGGAAGCTTGCTTCCTCTACTTCTTGATTCATGTGGCTACTGGAATCCGTTGCCCAACTCTGGCCATCCAAATGAAGTCATGCTGTCTTTTTCTTGATGCCAGTTCCAGTTCCTGGGAGAACTTTGTTCAACTAAACTTGCGTGAATAGCTCACCACTGGTCCAATGGATTATGAAAGAGGATTGATGTAATACTTTATAAAATTAGTGTCAGAGGCTGACCATGATGAAGAGGAATGAGTTCAGGATGTAACCACAAACTGAGTAGAAAGTACCAAAAATGACCCACTCCTCCCTCTCAGTTGGTGAGGTTTCCAGGCAGATTAAGTTCATATCCATGAGAACCGGTGTGATGCTGTCCGCCCCTGTGGCACTCTGCACATTCTCCCTTTGAGGATGTCAGCTTCTGTGACATTTCTCAGTAGGTGACAGAGCAAAAGGAGCCTGTGGGAAATGCTAGCCTCTCTCTCCCATCAGAGGAGGGCAGATTGGGGCTTGTAGCTGTTAACAGCTAGGAAGAACAAGGGACATGCCACTGCCTTGCCTGAAATGGAATCTCATTGACAATTCAGTTCATGGTCCAAGAAACAAAAATAATATTTAATGAGCAAAATCTTCTTTGTTTAATTATGGTAAATGTCAAGGTTGAATCCAAGTGCTTTGCTTAAGGTCAAATGCTCAGTGCTATCAAATAGCATTTAAACCAAACTGATGGGCTATTAAAGCCCAGGCTGGTTAAAATCAGGCCCAGTCTGTTCTTCAATGATTTATTTCCCCCGCTGGAAGCTATAATGTTGGAGCTGGAACAATCCACCAGCAGCTTATGCTTTTTCTTTCTTGCAGTTCTCTTTACACTGATGAGGGATTCCCTAGTGAAATCAATGTCTCCACTCTCCCAAAGAGCTACCTCCAAGGCGCAGGAATTCAGTTTCCATTTTGTCAGTGATTTAAAAAGGTACTGACCTCTTTCCCAGAGCTTCTGATTTAATTGGAGTGGGATGAGACCTGGCCATTGGTATTATATTTAAAGTCTCCCAGCAGAAGTGTTTCTAATATGTAGTGGGATTGAGAACAACTGGGATAAATGATTTAGTTAATTAAATAAAATGCCGAGAGCTGATGCCCTTGTGTCCTGAACTTTCCTTCATATTTCTCTTTCCTTTTCATAGTTTGAATTCAATCTAATTTTCTGCTCTTCCCTGCTGCTTCTTATCCTTGGGAACCAGAACTGTCTCCCAAGAGGTTGCTTGTATTGTTAAGCTCCAGAAAGGGCAGAGTTGCAACACTGTGCTTGCTTTGTGTTTGGCAGTGAGTGGGATGGGAGCTGTCCCCCAAACTGTCTGGCTTTCCTGCCACATGGATTATTGAAGGTCAGTGCTGAAGGCTTCGGAGAGAGACGAGATCTCAGACTATGGTCCAGATTCCTCCAGGTAGTCTGAAAAGCACTGGACAATGGCTATTTTCCGCACAGTGAGGAGATCTTCTGCTGTTATTTATGCACACAGCTTCACTATTCTTTCTTTCTTGTCATACAATAGAAATAATGATCTTGGT